ATCTATCTATCTATCTATCTATCTATCTATCTATCTATCTATCTATCGCTCATGGTTCACATCACCACACTGCCATCTGGTGGATTGAGTTGGGAAGTGCACAGGCTTTGTAAGAGCCTGTGCACTTATAAGAAGTTGCATGTTAAAAATGCAACTTCAACACTGTCTTAAGGAAAATACTGCTGTTATCCATTTTATTTAGCTTTCTTTTATCATTTTCTTACCACTGAAAGAAATAAAACATTTGTACTTTCCATTAGGCTTCAATTACAATTTCCTCTTTCAGAAGATGGCTGTATGTGGTGGGAGAAATTAAACATTAGGATCCAGTCAGAATAACTTCACTCTTCGCTAATTTACTACGTTGTTCTGTTCAAGTCTTTTCTGGACCCAGTTCCTTATTGAAAACAGTCTTTATGCCAGGTCTCCCTCGGCGGGTATTTGTCGTGTTGGTAAGTTTCAATAAAACTGTCGTGTTGACTTTTGGATCTTGGTTGTTCTCCGACAAACACAAGATGCGAAGATTCTTGGTTCAGAAATGATTCCCTGGTCTAGAGGAAATTTGCCTTGAAATAAACATAAAAATGAAACCACAAGACCAGGTCCAGATTAGTCTGCACGTTTTCTCTTTGAGTGCGGAACGACACACTGTCCTCCAGTGGATAGTTAAAAAAAGAAATAAAATAATCTCATCGTTTAAGTTTAAAACGTAAAATAATCAGATTCCTAGGTCCATTTTTGGATACTTCCAAACGTAAATACCTTAGTTCAATGTGAACCCACTATCAAGGAGAAAGTTCAAAGGTGAAACCTGCAAAGACAGGGAGGAAGGAGGAAAATGGGAAGAGGAAGGTAGGACGACATGAGAGTATGTATTTCATCCAATGCATTCTCACTGATAAAAAGAAACAGAAACACTTAGTGACAATGTAGTAATGCATTCTCGCTGACTAGATCTCCCAGAATGTGCACGAAACCTGCAACGTTTGCTACGTTTTATACCCTTTGACATTTCTCAGGAACACATTTCTCCACTCTGTGGTCCTTTTCCCTATCTGACATTTTAATATATGTATATATTTAGAAAAAAAAACATGTGTTTGCGTTTCCAAAACAATGAAACTTTGATCAAAAAGTAGGTCACTGGATATAGACGTACAATCATCCTCAGGAGAGAGGATTTGATTCAGACGTGAATCCAGAGCAGATTCATTCAGAGCCTCTTTGGGAGCAGAGGTGCGTTCAGGGGAGGGGTTGGCATGCGTTCATTAGCTGGAGTCATTTGGCAGAGGCCAGAGCAGTCCCAGCAGGGGTTTTATAAATGTAAACAGGACTCAAATGAGTCACAAACATTTCCTGTATCTCATGATGACCAAGAGCTGCTGTCAAACACAGCCACGTCTCTGCATGCAAATCAATAGCTTATGCAATCACGCAGATTTAATCAGAACAGAACATTTCTAACAACAAAACGCCCAAACAAATGCACAAAAAACATTCGCTCTCACTAGAAATGACTAAATGAAATGAGCCTTGCATCTAACAGATAATAAAAAACAACATCTGGCCACGCAATCACAAAGTATTTAAGCCTGATGCAGAATTTCTTTTACAAAATTGATTTATTAATGTCATATTTAACAATTATCTGCTAACATGCTCCAAAATTAATGCTTTAATGGCACATTTAGGTAGCCGTTTTATTAATTATGTACTTTTTTAGGTAGAAAGTGACTTACCAAGCTGAAATGGATTTTGGCTTTCGACTTTCGAGATTAGTGTCCCTCCCAGTCTGCTGTCGGCGGTGATATCATTCACTAGCGGAAGTGAGGCGGTCCTTTTCCCCGCAGACTCCAACATGGTGAGCTGTCTTTCTTCGTAATTCTGCTGTGTGATAATCTCTAAACATCCCCTTCTTTGTTCGCATTATTAAACCAGTACATGTTCTGGGGTAAAATTACACGTATTAACTAACGGCAGATTTGTAAATTATGAGGCAGCGGCGGGATTTTTAGTCCTAAATGGTGGTTTGAAAAGCCACTCGCAACCCGCTACGTTTTAGCTTAGCTTAACGGAGGAAAAGGGTATGCTGCTGATATCTACAAGAGTTCCCCCCCACAAATGACGCCTTCTATTAAAATATACATGTTAAAATTCAACACTTCATATGTGTGGGGTATCCTTAAAAATGATTTAATGTATATATTAGCATAGTTAGGCCGCTTTTAGCTGTACCAGCCCGCATTCATTTCAGCGGCACGGCTAGCCGGCAAGCTAACGCGGCCGGGCTAATGTAGTCTCCGTTAGCGTGCTGTCAACGTGTTCGTGCACATTGAGAATTAATATGCCAATATAAACGTGTTCAGATGGGTGAATTCCCAGCCTCTTGACCGACTCTGTCGTCTGTCCTCCAGGCAAGAGGACCGAAGAAGCACCTGAAGCGCGTCGCAGCGCCGAAGCATTGGATGCTGGACAAGCTCACCGGAGTCTTTGTAAGTAAACTTTACTGTTATTTCTTATTAAAATTGCGGCTAAATGACATATTATCTACTCAACTGAATAAAACTAATCGGATGTGTGTGTTTGACATCTAAATTTATTGCTCAGTTGCTGTGGAAGCGTTGAAAATAGACAGATCTCTTTGACAAGCTGAAGTGCTTTGTCTATATCGTTTGAAAGTAACACATCTAGTCATCTGAACGTCTCTCTTTCTCCTTCCAGGCTCCTCGTCCCTCCACCGGTCCCCACAAGCTGAGGGAGTGCCTGCCTCTCATCATCTTCCTGAGGAACCGCCTGAAGTATGCGCTGACGGGCGACGAAGTGAAGAAGATCTGCATGCAGAGGTTCATCAAGATCGACGGCAAAGTCCGCACTGATATCACCTACCCTGCTGGCTTCATGGGTGAGCCTAGAGAGACTTTTTTCCCCCCCCCTCCTGCCCGTTGTGGTCAGGTTCGGGCGTTAAACTGTCGGGCCGGGGATGTCGGTATTTCTGGAGCGGTGATGAATATGTGGTTTTGATCAGCAGTGAGCTGAAAACTCCACAACCCGAATCCTCTAAGAAGTTCTGAGCTCCGATTGAAATGTTTGGTTTTCAAATATATTTTAGATGCAAGCTGGTCAGTCAGCTTGATGTGTAATTATTGCGGCGTTAATATTGTTGCTCTGTTTATGCCAGCTTCTTTTTAACTGGTGACTTTAATTACCTTAGAACTGAGTGTTGATGTCGTAGATGTTGACATGTCCTGTAAAAGTCCACTTAGGTTTTGACAAATGTCATCAATATGAGAATTATCTGTTTGTTTTTTTTTCTTTAAAGAACTCTCTTTTTATTGCTACTAGATTTTTAAGTAAGATGAATTAAAACTGGTGCAAAAAGAAATGGATACATTTTCTTCTGTGGAAAGTTATTTGTGGAAAATACACTAGAAAGTGTCCAGAAATAAATTTTAAAAATGACGTTATTGGATCCGAGTTAATAGCGTCATGGATGGTCTAAAGAGCCGCTTGTGGAAGTGATTTAGCAAATATTTTTAAATTGAAGTGTTTTTTGTTTTTTCTTAATTAGTAATACACCAATCAGTCGGTGTTAAATATCAGACTTTTTGTTTTTCACTGAATACAGCTGTGAACTTAAAATACTCCCTGTTTCTCAGCATGTCAATGAGGATTTATCCCTTAAAGAAAATAAGCATTAAACCCATGTAGCAGGCCAGACTTGGAAGACATCAGTACTGATTTTAGTTTCCAGTAAAAATGTGATCAGTCAGTTTGTCTTGGATGCAGAGTGAATTGAATGCTTTGTGTTTTGACGTCCAGATTAAAGTAGATCTGATTATTGACACCCAAAGCTGTCTTTGTTGTTAGACGTTTGAGCGATGAGTCTTTGCTTTATGGTGTCTTGATTTATTATATTAAATCTCAACACTTTCTCATCTATAATATACCAAAGTTATAAATTCACAGATTTTGTGGTCTCTTAAAAAAAACTTAAAGGTGCACCAATGTCTTTAAAGCAAGTTTCTTTAAGATTTATATAAGGTGATGGCCATTTTTAGAAGCTATTTGGGATAATCTTTTATTTTAAAATATACATCTGATGCTGATCATTTAGTTGGTCTTACTTGCTGAGCTCCAGTAGAACATAATTGGGTTTTTTTTGCTAAAAGTGGGCCTGGCAGCAGGGAATAGCTTGATAAAATCATCTCCACACACACACACCCGCTCTTTAACACGGTGGCTAGTTTCAGATTTAATTGAACAAAGTTGTCCATGCACATTTTGAGTGAAGGTTCCTGAGGTTGTCTGTCAGCTGTGGACAAAATAAAAACATCTCTTCTCTCTTCACTGCATATCTGCGTTATGTTGAGGCAGCAGTGTGCACTGGGTCACTCTGTAGTAGGTGGTTGCTTATGACTTCTAGTTAGCTGATCGACGGAGTCATGTGAAATTCAACAATGTTTTCCAATTCCTTTCCTTCAGACGTTATCAGCATCGAGAAGACTGGTGAGCACTTCCGTCTGATCTACGATGTGAAGGGACGCTTCACCGTCCACCGCATCACCGCCGAGGAGGCCAAGGTGAGAGCCGAGCCTCCAAAATCAGAATATGAATTAATTTTTTTCACCAATGCACTCCTTGAGTTTCCACGGTTTATAGTGATGTCTATAAATTCGGGTTAAATCTACGGTGAAATAAAAGGGTCAGGCAAAGATTTTCTTTTTTTATTTTGAGGAGGATAAACTCATATCACAAGAATACACTCGTAGTAATATGACAGTAAAGTCAAAATAATAGAAAAATAGTCATATCACCAGATTGAAGGGAATATTAGGAGAATTATGGAGACGTCCAATATAATAACACAAGTTTTGTTTTTTCTAATTAAAGCAATTTTTTTCTTAAATGTGAGACTATATCCTGGTAAAATTCTGTCTATTCTGTTATTATGGCTGTAAATGTCCTGGTACACATGTACAATAATACGCCATTGTTCAACTCATTAAAAAAAATGTCTTTCAGAAAAGAAAGCAGAGAAGAAGGAAAAACTATTTTCTTTCGAAGTTATATTTCCCGGCACTAGGCATGACAAGTATTGACTAGTTTGTTATAAAATTCCTGAAACTCATAATGTTTCTAGTTTTCAATTATTTAAAAGCAGCAGAAATGCCTGTGCTTAACTCTGCTGTGGATCGTCTCTTCCCTCTGCAGTACAAGCTGTGCAAGGTGAAGAAAATCCTCATCGGCACCAAAGGAATCCCCCACCTGGTGACCCACGACGCCCGCACCATCCGCTACCCTGACCCCCTCATTAAGGTCAACGACACAGTCCGCATCGACCTGGAAACCGGCAAGATCACAGATTTCATCAAGTTTGACACTGGTAGGTGTGACTCTTTACTCCAACTCCGCTGTTCTCTCTCCAGCCTCGTTTTATGAACTGACCCGGTTCCTTCTGCTCTTCCGTCTCCAGGTAACCTGTGCATGGTGACCGGTGGCGCTAACTTGGGGCGTATTGGTGTCATCACCAACAGGGAGCGCCACCCCGGCTCCTTCGACGTGGTGCACGTCAAGGACACCACAGGCAACAGCTTTGCTACCAGGCTCTCCAATATCTTTGTCATTGGCAAGGTGAGCAAATGCAGACTTGGACCGTCATCATCACTGTCCGTGTTTTTGTGCTGGGATGTAATATCTTTTCTCTCTGTCATGACATGGTGACGGTTTTCGAAAATATTTGTACATATTTTTCAAAACGTTGCGTATAATTTTTAAGCACTGGCTCGTCCTTGTCTAATTTTTCCGTACAAGCTGCTGTCACCTGAAAGCATCCAGCTTTCTCGTGTCTTTGACTTTCAAATTGGGTTAAACGACTTTCCGGATTCTTGTTCAGGTGACTTTCTGAGACGTGTCGTTTTGGAGCAGTGATGATCATTAGTGGTTTTGATCAGCAGTGAAAAAAATCTTACCAACTCCTCTAAGAAGTTCTGAGCTCCATAACCCACATGTTTGATGTACACTTTACATCAAACGGTGTCAGCGCATCCTTAAAAATTTCAATTACCTAAAATAATGGTAGTGAAAAGTGACAGTCGATAGATAACATGTAAGTTGGCCTTACACACACGAATCACAGGTCTTAAAGTTTGTCGTGAAAAGACAATTTAATCTCATATCTTCTATGTCGTTTATTTTCCTTCAGTTGCACATACACATCTTCATTATGTTCTGATACAGCTACCGCTAGTAAACTCTTGCTAGCTAGCTAGCTTTTTTATGTCTGCCACTAAAGTGTAAAACATTTCCACTTTGCTGGATGATCATCTTTGCTTCTGTTTCCAACCCATGTGGTCCATTGTGTGAAAAGCTTGCCACTGCAATATAAAATATGCTCTTTTGTACATAATACTGTGATGCAAGTCTGACATTTTATTCATGGTGGTCTTAAGAAGCCTTACATTTGAGTTTATGAAACTTGTAGAATCTCTTTATCAAATATATTGCTAATATTTGCATACTGTAAATCTATGAACACCAATTAAGTTGGTATGTTTGATGCGTTTTCTTTTCATTATTATTATTCTGAGTCCATTTGACCAATCTAAATTGTTGTGACGTGACCTGTTGTGGTTCCAGGGCAACAAGGCCTGGGTGTCTGTGCCCAGAGGAAAGGGAATCCGCCTGACCATCGCCGAGGAGAGAGACAAGAGGCTGGCCGCCAAACAAGGCAGCAGCTAAACTGGCCCCGAAACAGACAGCCTGACCCTGGTTTTCAAATAAAATCTTATTTACAAAAGAATTATTGTTTTTGTGGTACTTCACATACGGTGAATACAGTGTACATAGTATTCTTCACTACTTGATGTCTCAAATATCAAACATGGCAAAGTATGAGTGATTAGGCCTGAAATATTTCACTCAATGAATCTTTGTGCCCTTCACTTTCTAAAATGACAAAATGCTACGTTAGTGGAAATCTTTTCTCTCTGTCGTGACATGGTGACGGTTTTCGAAAATATTTGTACATATTTTTCAAAACGTTGCGTATAATTTTTAAGCACTGGCGCGTCCTTGTCTAATTTTTCCGTACAAGCTGCTGATCAAATGTACCTAATCGTGTCCAGCTAGTGTTAATTACACGACCAAACGATGTTATTTTACTCTCCTCGCATTTCCTCAGCTCACCAGATCACATCCTGAATTTATCTTAGTGGAGCACAGAAGGATTGGCTTGAACGTTTGGCACATGCAGACAGCTGATGGCGGTGTAGATAATTTCCCCTGTAGATTCTAAACACCCACGTCCGATTATGCTATGTGGAGATCTTAATATTGTCTTCCAAACACTGAGGAACCTTGTGGCATCTGTGCCCGACTTCAGGACACCGGTACTAACGCACCAGCTTGTGTTGGTTGTCTCTGGTTACTTGTGAGATAACCTGACCACTACCAAACTCCAGGGCTTGTTATCATCCACAAAGTGGTTCTGTCCATTGTTGGCATTATTTAACTCCCATCCTTTATCATCCCTCTATCATTAGTAATCCTCTGCTTTCCTGTGAATCAGAGCTGGATGTGGCCTGTTTCCAGTTAAGCACATCGCCCACCAGCCACCGCAGCAAACGCTCATGCTCGCTCACTGGCGCTTTGCGCATTTAACACAACTTGTATTACTGGCCCTGGAATAGATATGTGAAATTGACTGTGGACAGAATGCATGATTGGTCATCTCGGATTCCTTTGTAAATTAATAGCCCTAAAGCGAAAGTGCTTATCGCTTTCATTAGAATCTCCTGCTGTTCTTCCTTCAGCTGAAAATTTTATTTGACTTAATTTGGAGTAAGGGATCCACGCTTCCTCAGTCTTGAATTCATGCATCTAAAATTAAGCCCTTAAATCTTAAAGGTCTTCAATGTGTCAAGACTTTAATCTTTAATGTTTTTTTTTGTCACAGGACTTTTCTATCAGGCAAACGTTTGAGTTGCTTGGAGACGAATTCATTGTGTTCTGTGAATTGAGACGGACGAGGCAACAGCTGACCAGCTGCTAATGCAGCCTTGCTAGTTGGCTAGCCAGCTTTTTTTTGTGTGTAGTTGGGGAAAGTGTAACTTTATCCACAATGTTGGTCTTTGACACTGGCTCATTCTTTGCCAACCCATGCAATGCTACATTCATTTTGTGAAAAAAAAAACCTATTACTATGATTTTCTTTAGTCCATTTCTGTCATAACACAGGTATTACATTTCATTCACAATTGTCTTAAAAAGCCTTGAATTTGAGTTGGTTAAAACTGCAGAAACAAAGCCGATGACATGGTCACTGCAACGCTTGGACATTTTCAGCTCTATCAAACGTTTCCCAGTTTGACATTAAGCTGAGTAGTTTAAATTCCTCGTTAAATTATTACTAGTATATAATTATTTTTTTAAAAGGCTGTATTGACACCGATGGCTTTTATTCATTGGTAGCTGGACAGGAAGAAGTAAATGGCCGGGGAATTGAAATGGGGACAACTGTTGGTGGCACCCTACGTCTTGTTGCCATTTTCTTTGAGCGTCTGATAGGGACGGAGATATTCACAAAGTCAAAAGGCCAGAGAAGTATAAGTATAATATGGGTAAAAATTGGTTATTGGCCGAAGCAGCAATATTGACGTTGAATGTGAACGTCAGAGCAGGTTTTCAAATGTAGTTTTTTCACCTTGTCCACTCAGTCTTAAGTACTGGTATAGTCTGCTCATGCTTTGGGGTTGATCTGCTTCCATCTCCAAAAAAGAACCACATTCTTTCACCTTCTATGCTTCCTGCCTCATTCCTGTCCAGCCTCTCCCCCGCATATTTTACTTTATCCCTACATCTCACGCTCCGATTCCCTTTCCCATCCCTCACTGTCTCTGCGTCCTGACTTTAGTACCCGTCCATATGGTGACCGCGGGGTTGCAGCATGCTCAAGCACTCCGGAAACCTGGCTTGGCAACCACCACCGCCGTGTGTGTGTGTGTGTGGTGCTTACACATTCACTTGCCAGGGTGTGTATTAGTGCAGTCCAAAGAGCTTGAGACGAACATGACACGTCTAACGCTGTGACTTTCATTTGCTGCCCTGCCTCTCCAACCTGACAACAATCACAGCAGGGGCCTGCGACTGTTCTGAAAGCTCAGTCTCTCCACACCGTCTGCTTTCAGACAGCTCGAGCAGTTCAGTCATCCATCTTTGCGGACAAAACGTAATTTGCAGTCCGGATATGCTGATTCAAATAAAATGCAAATCGTATCTTCATGCTGGAGTTTGTGCTGAAGCACATAGCTGACAGGACTGCTGCGCTTCTACGAACTTAACCACGACTAAACAAAGCATCCGAGCAACTGGGTTGGAAATACCCAAAACTGAAACGAACCCCAAAAAATTGGAGCACTTTCAGGGGTCGGTATTCCGTAGCCAATCAAAAGCGACGGCTTTGCCGCTACACAGCAGCCGTCGTAAACAGATGATGTCAGTCAGGCAACACATGCGCAGAGGCTCCCTCTTTGAAGAGGTGAAACACGAAGCTGACCAGACGCACGCTTTGCTCTCCTCTGGTTCTGTCTGGTCTGCCCTTGTGAGCATGGCAACAATCACATTTGATTCACATGGAGGCTTTGAAGTGCTTCTGGCTGAATGCGAAAAAAGGCGACAGGACCAGGAGCGGCGGAGGAAATGCACAGGAGCAACATCCAGTTAGAGAATTGGGAGCAGTTGCGTTGAAATAAGATTGCACACAGTTCTTGTGGTCAGAATTCTTGTGGTGAAGAAGACTTCGCCGTAAGTCTTCCTGTGGCGGAGACTTTGTAGCATCGCCACAAGAATTCTGACAGAGAAATGCTTCCAGGCAGGTGTTTAAACCAAACGTATAAGCCAGTACATTAGACTTGTTCAAGATCAGGTCACGACCTCGAGGGTGATCCGAAGCTCCTTAACCTCAGCTGCACTGGACAAGAGGAGCTATATAGTTCCTCCAGTTCTCTGCAACTTTTAGATGCATTTCAGCAACAACACACCTAAATCCCATCATTAAGTCAATAGCAGGGCTCTGTAGAAATTGAGTGCATGGAAAGGCGATTCAGTCCATTGATTTGCTTTCATTGGACATGAGACACAGCCAGATGTTGCAGGACAATGATCCTCAAAGACTGGACTCTTGACACCTCTGCTTGAATGAACTTCGGGACCTGGGATGTTCCGAAAAGCCCCCAAAGGGAGACCTATTTTTGCCAAATCACCTCCACCAAGGCCTTTCAGTCCTAAACCCAGCCAGCCTACACAGGACACTAATTTCAACCTTCAGTGTTTGGGTTGGTGTTCTTTTGATCTTGATTCCTCTTTTTATTATAGGTGAACTAGTAGATTGAGGTCTTGCTTTTTTTCCCTGTCTCAGTCTTTTTGTCTTTCCCACACCAAAGGAGCGCCTACATTACAGACGGGGTCTCCGTTTGTCGGCACCTTTCCTGCTCCATCCTCTACTCGCATGGAAGACATAAAAGAGTCTTGAAGTCCGCACTTAAAGCTGAGACTGAGTCTTGACTTGGGGGAAGACACCTGACTTCGATGGACCTACAGAAGGCGACTCAGAAACTCGTTAAAGGCCTTGGCAAACCTTTGAGTCCTTGAAGACTTGGCGCTTGGACCTTGGCACAGACATTCCTACCAACTAATCTTAATCTATGAAATATTTATCATGTTGGGAAATATGTTGCAGGAACTGAATAGCGACATGGTGGTGCGGTTTGAAATCCGTCTTGCTGCAACTTCATCAAAGCTGATTTATTCTTTACCAACATTTTCACACGCACAAAAACACATCTTTCATGTGAAGTCTTTCTCCATGTCGGAGATGTGAGGGGCAAGACTGCAGCCTCATTTAGAAGGCTGTGTGATGTTTGAGGTCAAGCCGGCTGGGAGAAACAAGTTAAAATAGGAACTTTTCGCATCAGTTAAACTGTGTCTGAAATGATTTTT